TTAAATTTTTAAGTAAGATAAAATATAAAATGAGTGCTATGCTAAACTTTAAACCTAGTGGAATTGTCAGTAATGCTGCCTTCCTTCTCTTTGTCTTCTACAGACAGTGCACAGCAGAACAATGATAATTTGCCCTCCCTGCCCCCATTTCCTTAAAATAATTTCAGTGTGTAGCATAATTTCGTTAGACTGCACAAAAAGGTCAAGCATTAATCAAGGTAAAATAATCCAGCAGTGATGTGATTTCCGAGCACAGAATTTAAACTGGCAGATCAATCTTCCTTTATAAATGGAATACACTAAGTTAATCTTTAGACAAGTGAAGATTATGTGAGCTGACTTACAAAATCATAAATGAGAATTAAAAAAAAAACTTTTAAATTCATGCTTGACATTGGTTGCTGTGTTTTTGCAAGTTAGCCTAATGCAAGTTAAAGTGTGAATGGGTCATATGTGATACAAGAAAATAAACTATACACTCTTATATTGTATATACTACCCAAATAAATTATTCTACATATGTAAATCACACCATGATAACTAAGCAGAAATTAGGACCCTCATTTTATATATTAAATATCTAAGTCATAATCATAATCATATATTAATATATTTTACAAATATCTGAGCTTTTAGAGGGTAATTCACATAAGGGTGAAGAGTTTAGAGAAGGCAGAAGAAGTGAACAATCTAGGACAACATAGCTGAACTGGAAAGTGAGCTGTATTGCAGAATCTTTCCAAATCAGCTATGTTGTCCTAGATTGTTCACTTCTCCTGCCTTCTCCAAACTTTTCACACTTTTGTGAATAACCCTGTATGTTTCATTCAGCTAATTACATTCCAGGTGCATAAAAAAGGGTCTTCAAATTCTTACACTAGGTTTTCTTCAGAAAGCAGTCTGAAACACCCCTGTTTAGTCAGGGTTCTCCAGTCAGCAGTAATTGAGAGCTTTTTAAGCCTAAAGCTGGCCATACACTATGGGGTCTATTCACAAAGCAGCCGAATGATCTAGGCGTAGCTTCAGCCGATCCTTCGGCTAGCTTCGGCCCCAGGACCATACAGCTCCCGAACGTGGCCGAGCGGCTCAGTTGAGCTATTGGCTATTGCAAATTGAAATAGCCAATAGGAATCTAGCAATGCATTCCTATGGCCAAAAATTATTACTATTTTTTTCTATTCTTTTCCTGAAGCCGAACAGCGTTCGGCTCACTTCGCTTTAGTTCGGTCATTCACTCGGCTGCCTACAGAGGCTTAGTGAATAGACCCCTATGTAAATTGCGGCCGGTTCTTCATAAACATCTGGAATGTGCACAGTAGATGCCTCTGTTGGAACCCTTCCAGTCGGCATTCCTTGATCAGATGATCGAAGAAGCCGGTTGAAAAATCTTTGAACAAATGGTGCTTGGAGTTAATCAGCTGCAAACACTATTCAAACACTATTCATGTTTTCTGACAGCAGCTAGCGGCAATTGTCAGCATACATAGGAAACAGTGGGTGATTCATCAATTAACGCTCATAAGCGCTGATGGAGGAATCTGTTCTATTTTTTTCGTTCAACAAAACATTTTGGCCAGTGTATGGTCAGCTTGACTTTGTGTGGGGGGTGACTGTTAAACCTCTTCATATAAGCCGCTGCTTCAACAGAGAGAACAATGGTCCTTCTCTACAACATGCTGGCAGAGGACAGTACTTTCTATAGAAAATGAATTGTAAGACTTTTTACACCTTTGATTTTGAGTCACCTGGAATGTATTTAGCTGTTTTAACTAAAAGTTTAAGTGAGCTTTAAATCTTGGAGAAGAACAATAATACTGATCAAACCTGATGTAATGTGCCAACTGTACAATAAATTAGATGAGCCTTCTGGCTTACAGTTTACTTTCATCTAGACTGTAACTGTATGATCGTTATTAGTTTTTGAAAGAAATATTAATGGTTGAAATAAAAACTCATCAAATTGCACTTACCTGATATCATTTGTTTTATCAGAAATATCTATTAGTTATCATATTACAATACATCTGTGATAGATTACCAATGTAATCATGCCCATATCTTAATAAATATTATTTCTAATTCTCTTTAAAAAAATGTTTTAACCCTTTCTAGCCGTATTCATGAAAAAATAAAATTAGATTTTCATAAATGCCAACAGAAATAGTTATAACTGGGGGGAAAAAAGCAGGAGAAAAAAATTGTCTTATAACACATTCAATTCCCATGGCCCATATTTCCTAAATAGCCTGCAGGCATTAAAATTCCTTAAAGATATGTATGAAAAAGTTAGCAAAGCAGTAAAAGTTAACTTTGTATGAAGTTGAAATTTAAAAGGAGGATGATTTTACTTCTATTTTTAATTTATGCAAAAAGGAGAAGTAGAAGGAGAGTGTTCTATAAAATCTCTGGCATACTGACATTAAAAGCAATGTTTTAAATTATTATTTACACAGAATGCTATAATTTTAGTGTAAGGCTTAAAGTGAGACCCTTCTTTACCATGAGAAAAATATACTCAACCTTTGATGGAGCCAAATGCAACTTATTAGTACATGGTAGGTTTCAAATAATTTAAATATATTTCAAATATTTAATTCTGTCCTTTCCAAATTATAATGGTTAAAGAAAGGTCAGTGTATATTCCCCATATTTAACATGATTGCAAAATGGCTTCACCATCGGTATAATAGCTTAATACATAGTAAATCTTCAATAATGTATGAAAGTGAGTTAAGCATTTTTTTTAAGCATGTACCATTCCTGATCAAAAATATTTAAGATACAGTGCACCTTTTAGCATGGGAATGAAGATCTTGCAAGCCAAAGTCATGATCATGAAATATACAGTTAACAGTTATGAACATCGTCAAACAAAAATGAACAGCAAAGATTATTAATAGGGTGAAAGAAGTCAGCTTTTACTAAGGGAAAGATTACGTAAAATTAAATATAGAGAAAGAATTAGAGGAAGGGAAATCATGGAGGACAGGCAGAGTTAGAGTGGGATTGTACAGAGGAAAATATAAGGTTAAAAGGGATACAGGTTAAGGAGTCAACTGTAGGCCTGGCACAGCATGCTTGATACTGGAAAAAACAAAGTGAGGAAATGCTTGAAAAAAAGACTGAAGCAGAGTTTGAAGGGATTTCTCATACAGCATAACACCTGCACTATGTTTGATGAGGGCTGGTTTATATCTATTATGCTCAATTTACATGACTGGCATAGACATTTTCAGATAATGGCACCTATAAGTAGCTTAAATATATTGCTCACACTCTAAACTGAAAACTGGTATGTTTGATGAACTGATAAACCCAGTACTTTAAAATATAATTGAATCTGTATGTGAAAG